GAGGACACAGATAAACCTCTAAGTGCTTCAAAAGGATGCAAATGACCAGTTGCCTGCAAGGAGTATAAATCCCTCTATTCCCCACTGTCCTGTCAGAGCTGAAGAAGCTTCTTGGATGAGAAACGAAATGTCTTCAAAAGAAAAAAACAACATCCAAATTTGCCTCCTGAAAAAAGCACCTTTGGGATATACAAGTCATTTGTTTTACTTCTTGCTTGTGCAATCATGAAAATGAAATACGAAACTGATGTCATCTCATATTATGGGATGGACCACGAAGTAGATTTTTGCTTGTGAGTGGAAGAAAAATGACTTGCCTTCTCGTTGCTGAACTCAGTCTGGCTGTGCTATTTCTACCAGGGGGAACCAAAGTCACGGGTGGGATTCTACTAGTTCGGGCGAATCGGTAGCTCCGTTGATCAGCTGGGAGCGAACCGGTTCGCTCCGATGATCAAGTGGACCTGCACCCACCCCACCCCTGCACTTTACTGACCTATATCTTCTCAGCTGAGTTGTGTGGCAGAGCGGATTGTCGCACCTCAGCTGTTTCCCTCCCCAGCAGTAATGCGAAAGGAAAGTTTTCTCAAAACTGCACATGCGCATGCAGCAAAGCGAACTGCGAAGTGCGCGAACACTGAGCCAGTTGTTAAACCGGGAGGATCCCACCACTGGCCAAAGTTTTAAAAAAAATACTGATAGCCATATTAATGGATTCCTGCTGGGGTTGTCTCAGGGATATTTCCATTTAACTGTGGTTATCGTCAAGTCCCTTTCAGCTCTTAGCTATATCAAAAGTCCCTCTGTTTTAGGAGATTTTAACAGTCTCAATATATTTCATTGGGGACGATGACAAAAAGACATTCTACCACAATAAACCAACGCGAATCCATGCTGAGGGTCATGAAAACATTTCGAATGTTTATGAGGTTAGAGACACAACTACTGGAATCTTTGAGTCTGAGATCTTAAAAATCTAATAAGTTTACTACTGGATGCACTGCTGAATTTCTCATTTCCACAAATAACTTTCTCGGTTATATGCCATCAAATTGTTTTTTTGACTCCTAATTTAGATAGACTTTCTCTGTGAGTGTTAGTTACAGAGACCTTTTCTTTCTTTCTCTCCAACTAAGATAGAAAGGTAGATAGATACCAGATGGAGAGGAGATAATTATTTTTTGTTTGCAGGGTGAACACATTGATCGCCTATTAAACTCACATACAAGGAAGGACTGTAAATCCAAGATCCTGAAGTTCCAGTGCCCCCTGCTGGCTGTATTGGGAATATTATTGGCCTATAGATTCATAAAAAATAAATGGAGATAAGTTAAAATGCACTCTGAAATGCACTCTGACTGTAAATAACAAATAATTATCTTAAAGAAAAGGGAAATGTGTATAGCAAGATATAGAAACAAAATATCATAAAATAAAATTGAAAAAAAAATACATAAAAAAGATTGAGATAGTAGTGTGCAGAGAAAATCATCGAAGAGAGAATAGAGGCTAAAATATGAAGAATGGTTGCAGGAATTAGGTGTGTTTAGTCTAATGAAAAGAAGCAGTAGGGGGTGACATCATAGCAGTGTTCCAATATTAGAGGGCTGCCACAAAGAAGAAGGAGTCAAGCTATTTTCGAAAACACCTGAAGACAGGACAAGAAGAATGGACGGAAACTTATCAAGAAAAGAAGATCCAACCTAGAACTTAGGACACATTTCCTGTTAGTGAGAACAATTTATCAGTGGAATTGCTTGCCTCCAGAAGTTGTGGGTGCTCCAACACTGGAAGTTTTCAAGAAGAGAATGGGCATCCATTTGTCTGAGATGGTACTATAGGGCTTCTTGCTTGAGCAGGGAGTTGGACTAGAAGATCCCTTCCAACTCTGTTGGTCTGTTCTCTCAATTATCAATAATGAACAGTAACATTTTATGCTTTTGAGGCAGCCTTGGCTCCTGGAGATAGTCTGAGTAAGTCTCTACAATTTTCTTGGCAAGATTTTAGAAGTGGTTTGCCCTTGCCTTCTTCCTAGGGCTGAGCGTGGGTGACTGGCCCAAGACTATGCAGCTGGCTATGTGACTACATCTCTCAGTTTCTCCCTGGTGCCTTAACTACTACATCAAACTATTTCCCCCATCATTCCATGTGATTGGGGGGAAATGGCAGGAGGGAAAGGGCACCACTTCTCAGCCAGAGAAGAAAGAAAATACTATTTTTCCTTCTGCTTTGCTCATACTTGCATTGCAATTATCTTAAAATGTCATCTGAAATCAGCGCAAAATCAGAGTAAGTTTGGTGGCTATGGTGAATTTTCTGGATTTCCCTAATTGCTGGTTATTTAAAACAAAGTTTATTCCAGTGGGTTAGCATGGTCAATTTCCAGGTTGGAGGGATTGACTTTGCTGGCGAGCTGAAACTTCTCAGCCCTGTTAAAAATTAACCTCTGCTCTCATCCTAGACAGGACTGAAAAACAATATGAGTCACGAGGAATCTGGAAACCTGCCTTCTGTCTCTCCAAACCTAACAAACCCCCCTGCTCTGGTTTTCCTTCTCTTCTAAACTCCAAAGATACCTTAGCATTTCCCAACTTGCCCAGGAGCTGACTCATTGCCAAGTAAGAAACCAGAAGCTTCAGAGATGACCTTGCAACATCAGCTGGCTTCTGACCGAGAAAACCCTGCCCTGGGTTTTGCCTCCAGCATTCGTGCTCTCTATGCTGCAGCGAAAGCAGGAAGAGAAGAAGAAGAAGAAGGTGGAGCCATGGCTGCTGTCCTCCTCCCGGGAAACCTTCAAGATGAAGCCACTTGCTCGGTTTGCTTGGAATATTTCAAAGACCCCGTGTCCATCCAATGTGGGCACAATTTCTGCCGGGCTTGTATCACCAAGAGCTGGAAGAGCCTGGAGGTGGACTTTCCTTGCCCCCAGTGCAGGGAACTGTTCAAGGAGAAAAGCTTCAGGCCCAACCGACAGCTGGCCAACATGTCTGAAATCATCAGCCAGTTCATCCTGCACGGCGGGAGAGGCCTTGAGGAGGACAGGATTTGCGAGAAGCACAAGGAGGCTCTGAAGCTTTACTGCAAGGACGACCAGAAGACCATTTGTGTGGTGTGTGACCGATCTCGGGACCACCGACCTCACGCAGTGGTGCCTGTAGAAGAGGCAGCCCAGGAATACAAGGTACGTACCTGCCTATCTGTTGCACAAATAATCTTCTCAGGTTTGCAAACGTCTCGGGTCTACCTGTCTCGAAAACCTTTCCACGTTGTACCTATTCTTTGCTGAAAACTACCATGGGGCTAGGCATGAGCTTCCATGGAGAAGGTCCTCATTCAGTTCCAGGGATCTCCAAGGAGGGCTTGGGGAAAGCCCATCTCTATAATCTTGAGGAGCTGTTGAATGTGAGTCAACAATAGCATGCTGAGCGCTGACTCAGCAGATAGGTTCAGACAGCATGCTAAACCTCCACTCTTGCTTTATTCCCAGTTACATGCTCTGGTTTAATAGGGTGGATGGTCTGTTTCATCCAACATGCAGCCAAGTAATTGGCTAGTTTCTGATATCTGTTGAACCAGAAAGTCCTATTTTAGCCTATGTTGTACAAAAGACTAATGTTTTTCTATGCTCCTTAACCTTTTCAGCAAAAAAACCAACAACAACAACAGTAGAAGGGAAGCAATCTTGAGAAAAAATAATGGTGCGCACCAGGGGTGGGTTTCTCGCCCCATTCCAACCGATTCGGTTGGAACGGGACCGGTGGCGTCCTCGCGCACGTGGCGCATGCATGCGTACTAGCATCTGTGCGATGCTCCAGCTGCTCCTGGAGGATAGCGGAGGTGCTGTATGCAGCCTGCGCATGCGTGGACGCACAGAACTCGTCAAAACCAGGTAAGGAGCGTGGGCGCGTGGGTGGGCCCTTCGCCGTTCCCGGAAG